TTTTTTTAAAGAAAGAGAAAATTAATCTAGGAGATCCAGTTCACTCGAGCGGTGCGTAGAACAAACGTCTAATAGAACCTGGATTTTATAGATAGTATTTGTAAATCAAACACTGCTGGAAAAATATTTCTAGACGAGAAAATTACAGCTACCAAAATCATAAGAATAACGCTGATGAATAAAACAACACAAAACAAGACAAAAATTAAACATACTGGCGATGTTTAGAATGATCTTGCAATCTGTCATTGCATTTTAAAAAAGTAAACTCTCTCTCTCTCTCTCTCTCTCTCTCTATATATATATATATATATATATATATATATATATATATATATATATATATATATATATATATAAAAAGAAATATAGTCTTAAGGTGTGCTATGTTTATGGGATAAAATGCTCAATATCAGAGATAGAGCGTGTGTAAATATAAAAGTGAACATAGAAGTCAACACTTAGAGGCGACAGTCTGTTTCATGCTATATGCAATCGTCAGGCCACGTGTGCTGTTATTTTTCTCGGCTATTTATATATATACGGGTTAGTGGTGCATTGTGGGTATTCTATTATGGTGGTTATTTTTACCGGAAGTCGCTTTGTTCATTTATTTGGGTCAAGTTATATTGCTCGTTTTTATTTATTTTTTTATTTTATTTTATTTATTTATTTATTTTTTTTTTTTTTTTTTGTTTCTTATTTTATTTATTTATTTATTAACGTAGTAAAATTTGTTTATATCACGTATTTAACAGTTTTGTTTTGGTTTGAGAATTTAATTAAAAGCTATTTGTTCAATTTTTTGGGTTTGTTGTTGTAGTTCATTCTAACTATTATTTTTTTGGCGGGAACAGTTTTTTAATTTGGGATTGGTTTGCCTATTTATTTACTTGGATGAATTTAGGTCAATTTATTTTATATTTTCTCTTTTTTGGTTTTCGGTTTTTAAGCAACATAGTACTTATTTATTTATTTTATTTATTTATTTATTTATTTTTTTATTATTATTATTATTATTGTATTTGTTTTTATTTTATTTTTTCCGTTTTTCATTTTTTTAGGTTACGTAGTAAAAATTTATTTTCATGCCTGCATTTTGAGATGAGCTCGGATCTTTTATTTAATAATTTATTTTGGTCGGGGAAAGTAATGATAGCTATTTTTCCTCCAAGCAAAAGTTTGCAAGTTTTGATTGGTTGTTGCAGGCTGATGACTTTTCCTTATCTTCCAAGATATTTTGGTGTGATGTGCGTTTTGTTTTTTTATTTCCCAGATATACTTAGAAAGCATAGTACTGTTCGCATATTTTACTATTTGTGAACGATGTTTTGTGTGTATAATTTCTTTGCTTCAGGTCCTTCAGTTACTCCTATGTATACTTTTTTCTTCGTTATCTGGTGATTTTATCGTGGCTTGGTATATTACGTTGTTTTGTAGACAATTTCCGTTTAAGGGACATTCGTTCTTTATTCTGCAGTTGCACGTGGGTTTAATTTGTTCGTGTGGTTTGTTGATAATTTTCCTATTGTGCTTTTTTTTATTTGTGCCATGCTCTCGGTGCAGCTGTAGCTGATTTTTTACTGTATTTTTGTTGAATATCTTGTTTAAGGTGCTTTATTCTGGGAAGTGTTTGTGTAAGAGTTTGAAGAATATTTTTCCTACGTTTGTTTTTACGTTCTTGCTGTACGGTGGGTTGAACCATATGATATTTCTTCTCCTGTTGGTCTTTTTTGTATTCTGTGGTGAGTATGTGAGTATTGCTGGGAATCCGCTATCTTTTAGGGCCTTTTTTAAAGTATTAAAATGAGACAATATCGAACTCAGTTTGAAGAATAAATCATCAGTTAGTTGGTAGTGCCTTACAATATATATATATATATATATATATATATATATATATATATTGCAATAATTCATCTGGTATGTCAATGTTAAAATCTGCACAGCAATTCAGCAAATATATATATATATATATATATATATATATATATATAATTATGATCATTTCAAATCATTGTAATTATATATATATATATATATATATATATATATATATATATAATTAGGAGGATTGGAAATAATCATAATTAAGTAATTCATCGAGTGTAGTAGAAACCTCGACAGAATGCTGAAAGCAATGAACGACTGTTTCGTCCTGTAGTTTTTGAATCATCATCCACTAAACGTGAATTGAAAACCGAACAGTTACATTTAGAGGAGTTACAAACGGGCCTCGGTGAATAACTTGTTTATATATATATATATATATATATATATATATATATATATATATATATATATATATATATATATATATATATATATAACCCTTTATTTCGCTCCTGGGGTAGACTATTACAGTCACATGTGTCTTTTTATTAAGGGATGTCAGTTATCGCCTGTTAATTAGCTTTTCAAAGCTCTTCACTGCTTTAACTGAGTCTTGAATCCACACACTTTGGGTCCTGTCACTGGATCTAAACTGGAGAACTTGGATAGGGGAATTAGCAGGCGATAACTGATAAAGACGTCCATCAAACATGGCACGTAGAACTAGAACTGTCTACCCCAGTGAGCGAAATAGAGGGTTCAGTTCGACATTCCAAACACCTGAAGAAGGCCGGGGCGTACAACGGCCGAAACTTTGTAATACATGTGACGACAAAGATGAGGACAATAGTCCGAATAATTTGAATAGTGTACAAAATATCTATTCATTAATTATAGTAACAAATCTTATGTACAATGGAAAAATATGGAAAGGCATTGTAAAAAAAAATAGTCAAATAAAGAATAGCCTTAATGATAGTTTTACATCGTATCCGAATGTGTAATTTTCGATTTCTAATAGAAGAGTTATTACTTTTTTAACATATTTAGGTATGCATTCTAGTGGATGGCAATCAAGAACTCCATAAATATAATATGGATATAATTTAATTGATAATTTTGAGGCCGATTAATAAAAAGAAATATTTATGAAATGGCAGATGGTTCCTGGCTGGTAATCAAAGGTAGCTTGGCAATTGGTAGCTCTCTATCACTTTTACCGTAAGTACATTAAATATTCCCAGACTTCTTATTCGAGAACTAATACTATTTCAACAGTTGCAAAAAGATGCAGATGTCTATGAGAGAATTTTAACGCATCTCGATTAACCCATTTGTTACGCACATACGCGAGAAATCCTTAATATGATAATATACTCCATGAAGTGTATATATATATATATATATATATATATATATATATATATATATATATATATATATATAAACTAACATATAATTCCGTGTTTTATCAAGTAAATATAGCATTTTAGTCTATTAGCAAAACTCCAGAAGTCAGCATGACTGAAACAACACTCAGTTAATTGATAAGATTCTCCACATTAATCATATATATATATATATATATATATATATATATATATATATATATATATATATATATATATATGTGTGTGTCCATTTATATATATATATATATATATATATATATATATATATATATATATATATATATATATATATATGAATTCTAAAGGGCGTAGACTTATTATGGAAAGATAATCCCAAGTTGATTTGTTTATTTTTACTGTTAATTCTTCCCCTTATTACCTTATATTTTTTTTAATTATTTAGTATTTTCATTTTTAATATTTATTAATAGATTTTTCTCTATTCATTCGTCTTTTATAGATAGGACATCTAAATTTTTCATTTGAGATGAAGATTTTTAGCTTTAATAGTCGACTTTTTATGTCGGCTTTTTTATGACCCAGTGAGACACAAAACCAATTTCCAACTATGAAAACTCAAACATGTCTTGATTCATACTCATGTTTGCGCGTTTAATATGTATCCTTATTACTTTTAAAAATAATCGAAATGAATTGCTGTATGTGTGTTCGTTTTATAATGGAAAAAAGGGACTTTATTATTTTTTTTATATAAAAATAGAGGAGATAGATGTGGCAAAATCAAAACTGATTTATATATCAAATATAACAATTTATTATTTTATCAATTTAAACGTTTATATGTATTCTTTGATATTCGATACCCTGTTTCAATCCTTTTAAAATGATTATTTTCTTTGTACATTCTAATTTAATTATAACTGCTTTATCTCTTTCATTTTTTTCTTCTTTTTTTTTTTTTGGCGGGGGCGGTTTCCTGAACAGCATTTTATTGGAATATTCTTTTTTAAAGATTGACAACAAACTTTCTATGTTGAAAAGCCTAGAAATATTCCATTAATTTCCTTTTCTTTGAAACCGCTTCTTGGAAGGTGGTAAAAAGACACTGCAAATGAAGGAACATTGCCTTACATGAATATACGCTTCACCTTAAATATTCCCGGTTGTAGCGTGAACAACTCAAAAATAATTGTTCTGAAATAGCTTTTAGCGTTATTTTCTGCCCATTTATTACTTTACATCTTGCGAATTTATTTCAATTTTCCATTTACTTTAGCTGTGATTTCCGTCTCAATGTTTCGCAATTTCCATCACAAAACAAATTTAAAACTTCATCTTTCTCCTGGGATGTTATATGAAAATCATTTTACATCCAATATATATATATATATTGTTATATATATATATATATATATATATATATATATATATATATATATATATATATATATATATATATATATATATATATATATTTATTTATAATCGGAAGAACTCTCGAGGAACGTGATGAAATCTCCCCCTCATTATATGTTATTCGAAATATTTCTAATGCTAAAATATCTTAAAACCTGAAATACACATGACATATTATCATATACACCTTAACATATCACAAACGTTCATTAATATAGGTTAAGAAGAATTTTTTTGTGAAAATATTTGTCGGTATTATGAACTCTGACAGTGTACGTTTGCTAAGTTTACTAATATAATGATTAAATCCATCAGAATAATAAATAATTAATAAAAAAATAAATTAATAAAATATTTATTCTCATAAGACTTGTTCAGAAGTAATTCTGACTGTTCTCTATTTATCTGTTTTAAAATTTATTATTTATTCGTTTCGTATCTATCTATCTATCTATCTATCTATCTATCTATCTATCTATCAACTGTGCATAACTATATACATAACTAATTCTACCTGTTATTTACGATGTATCAATATATTTTATGGTTTATAATTTGTCCATGTCCAGGCAATCTATCTATCTATCTATCTATCTATCTATCTATATATATATATATATATATATATATATATATATATATATATATATATATGTATGTATCTCTGTTTGTCTGTCTTTCTCTCAAGTTCTGTTTATAACTAACTAGATATCTAATGCTATCTGTTCTTTACTATTTATCTATTTCAACGGTTTTAATTTATACGTTTCCCATCTTTCTTTCTTTCTGTCTACATATCTATTCAAAAATGGTCATAAATATCACTCTTTCTGCTACGTCTTATTTCTCACCACATCTCTATCGATTATATTTTATCCATTTTATCTATCTGTTTAACTAGCTAGCTACCTAATTATGTTTATAACTATCTAATTTTAACTCTTCTTTACTATGTATCTCTCTATATATATACATGGCTTATATGTATCTATATATTCATGGCTTATTATCTGTTTTCTATCTATCTATCTCTCTATCTATCTATCTATCTATCTATCTATCTATCTATCTATCTATCTATCTATTTAACGTATTTATCTATTTATCTATGTATATATCTTTCTATCTATTTATCTATCTATATATTACGAACTACGATAGTCAAACATTAATTTCTCAAAACTGATCTATTTAATGGAGACACATGTAATAACAATTATTATATTTTTTATTTCAAAAGAAATAATTCAGGCGGCAATATGGTCCTGACTAAACGCCGATCTCATTCAACATTTAATATTATTTAACAAGTAAAGTTAATTCGGTTTATTATGTAATATAAAATAGTGCTTATTTTTCTGTATATGTTTGAACACTATATAGATCGTCCTTGTTTTAATTTTATGAGACGTGGCGTTTTGATACTTATTTGCGCATTCACATAAATAATCAGGAAATATTTAAGTGTAGACACATGATTCTTTGACTAGCTGCTGTTTACTCAAATGCCATATGAATGTTTTCTTCTTTATTAAGAGTTTTACTGGGTATTTTATTTTTTTTATTTTATTAAAATATCATACACCTCGCATAACATAATGTTTCTCTGTGCTGTTTCGAAGACATTAAATAGGAAGTGAAGACGTAAACATACATAATACCTATGAGAGCTTGCCAAATCTCGCATTTTTACCCATTTGTTTATGTATATTCTGCCATTTTTTAATCAAGTTTTACATTTTCTGATTATTGATAAATATTTCTGAAAAAATATTCGGCTCATTACACTACTCTAAATATATATATATACATATATATATATATATATATATATATATATATATATATATATATATATATATATATATAGATAGATAGATAGATAGATAGATAGATAGATAATATTAGTGGAAAATATACATACATATGCAAAATATATAAATACCCATACATGTATATTTTTAAAAAAAAATTCCAAGAGGAAGAATCCAGGTAGAACTCAATGTCTAGGACAGAGTAAGGATATATATATATATATATATATATATATATATATATATATATATATATATATATATATATATATATATATATATATATATATATATTTGGCTTCTGCTGCATGAGTTATCATTACAAGCGTCAGAAATGGCGTATTGCTATGATATCTGAACTTCCTGTTAAAAGATTTGATGTGCCCTTGTGGGCGATGAATTATTTTCACCTTAAAGTCACCTACCTACAGACGGATCCTTGCTATCTCCAAGCTATTCTGTTGCCATTTTCCTGGCAGATGATCATACGTGCGACATTATATATTTCCACTTGTTCAGACCATCACAGCTTGAACGCTCCATCCGACGTACAGAGGACCGAATCATCCTCAGTGTCTTTTTTATTTCATTGTTTAATTGTGGATCAAACTTTCGGGAATATCATTCACCGAGCACCACAGACTTAATCTCTTCCAACATAGGCTCAAATATGACCTGTCCTACATATCTTCGTTAAATGCTCTTCTAACTTCATTCTTTTTACAAATTTACATCATCACCAGGAAGACTAAATTGCGTAGATGTCGCCTCTTGTATGGATGGACACTAGAATAAAAATACAACTGATTAAAGATCGTTCATGTTCGGTCAAATAAGAAATATATTTTCCAAGAGAATTACATTAGCACAGAGACAGTCTTTTCTCCAAATGACAATATCTGTGTACTGGTCACACGAAAAAAAAAGAAACTCCAATCAAGGTTTCAGATATTTTCTTGGTCTGTAAAACAAAGAAAATATGATTTTTTGTTATGCTGATAGTATATTTAATACAAATAATAATAATCATAATAATAATAATAATAATAATAATAATAATAATAATAATAATAATTATTATTATTATTATTATTATTATTATTATTATTGTTATTATTTATCAATATTTAGAGTTTGTTTTATTTTTATATTGCATGCTTCTGGCTTCTCTCTTCGGGGATTACTCGATGACTAGATCTGATATACACGCCTTATCTTTTCCCGTTATCAATTTAATGATATGGTTCAGATAGATTCGATCTCCCATCTCGATTTCATATTATATTTATATTGTTTAAAATCTCTTCGGAAATATTCAAAGTGCTGTTAATAAACATAACTTTCATAACGATAAACGAAGATATTCACTCTTTCATGATTCTATTCTTATTTTATTTATAATAAAACTGATATAGTTTCTACCAAATAATTACTGATCTTATAACTAAAGCCTGATAAGTGTATACCATTCACGTTTGCGATATACACTTGTCAGTCAAATGATATATGAGCGTGAGGTTTACAGGCTCAAAGAATTGCTTGGTAATTTTAACAACTCCAAGGAAAACTGCATACATTTAATCATTATTTCTGCCAGCCATCTGCATTGCTCTTGCTAACCTAAATGAAAATAATTTTGTACGCTTTATTGGGCTCACATTACGCCATGACAAAAAGTGGCGTAATTATACTGATTGCTAGGTCTATTAGTAGGAAAGTTGGTTCACTGTGTCGTGCAAGAAATTTTTTTTCTATTCAGAATCAATCTTGCATATTTATTAATCTATCATTCGCCAGTGCGTTTAACATTGATGGAATATCTTGTTTGGTTCTTTTACTATATATCTCTAGATTCCTGACAAAATTCAAAGAAGAGTCTGTAATATAATCGACCCTGGTATGGTATCTCGACAGTCTATTTCTCGGTGACGTGAAATGATTCCCCTACGTCTCTCCTACAGATATTTTCATGGCAATTTTTCAGACGAGCTTCAGTCAGGATTATATGAATTTAATCGTGCTACGTGATTGGCAAATAGTTTTCACTGTTTTCCTGTTGAATTAGCTACATATAACATAGAAGTTATAATATATAAGATATAATATATAAGTTATATTCCTACTGTTTCTTTTCATAGAGTGTTTATAGTGTTTTTTCAAGTTATCATATATAAGATATATGTGTTATATTCCGAGTGATTCTTTAGATAGAGTGTTTAGAGAGTTTCTTTTAGTTATCATATATAAGATATAATATATAAGTTATATTCTGAGTGTTTCTTTTCTCTCATTTCTCACTTGTGGAGATTGCGTCCTGATTCTTCCTTTCCCCGCAACTGGCAATCTTCAAAAATGTAAATACTTCGCCAATCACCATATATACTTCCTAGCACCTGATATTTTTATTGTCATTTCTCATCTCGAATGTCTTCTCATTATCTTTCACACCCAGAAACTTCATGCATCCTAGTGACATTGTCGACTTAGGAGAGTGATATGATTAAAACAAATTCACATCAGATCACCTAGTCATAACTGATGGACTCTAACTGAAGACATTCCTAATTATCTACATATGAAACCCAAAGCAATATATTTTCTATTCTTCTTCATGAACAGAGATGCGGAGTTCGTTACCATCCAAGGGAATATCTAACTCTTTTATGTTATTCAAATTAAATGCGTTGGCGGGGTACTGAACCAAATGTTTACTGCAGTTCATAATAATTCAGCTGGTCAAAACATGTCCTATCAATGAAAATCAAAATTGACGAGTCTCATGCTTGGCGTAGCAAAAAGTCATACTTTCTATTATTATTACCTTATTCAACAAGGCAGACATATTCCTTATTATTTTCCTTCAATGAGTGGATCGGAACATTTTCCTGTCAATCGGTGGGCTCCAACTACAACTGGAATTGTAGATATCTTCATGTGCCACATTTTGGAGATCTCCAATTCAAGAAACTTGTACGTTGATAGTTTTATTTTTGAAGATCTTCAAAGATACATTACAATCAACAAGGAAGGTCGTTTTAATAAAATCCACATTTTGATATTTTGGTCTATTATTGGGTTGTCTAGGCGATTATATTTGATTGTCCTGTTAGCGTGTAATGTAATTCCCCATAAAATTGTTACATATCCTCTCTCTGTAACGTGTTTACGGGGATATCTATACAATCTACCTACTGTTTCGTTCCCATAAATGTTGCATATTTTTCATGCAGATATTGGCCCACTCTATCATAAAGAGTTTCATATTCAGTGTAAACTGATGTCTGATGGTCTTGATATGAAAAGAGAGAATCTTCATTTTCGGTTAACCCATCTTTTCAGTGTTTGTGCTTCGTTAATTTCTGTGCCGCAAGAATCTGGTTTCTGCTTTAACCCTAAACTATGTAACCACTAATGGGGAACAGATTTTGTCTACATCAGATTGTTTTGTATGGGCAGTATATTGATCATGAAGAGACATATCTTGCCATTGTTTCTGCAATTGCTACATTGCATTTGTTTCTTTTCAACTGCGGTAGGTTTATTATAGTCTTATTTTATTTTTTTTGCATTTCTCCCACTTACACTACCATTTTGAATCTGTTGGGTTCTTTTATTACTGAAGAAATTTTCTTGTTTCTTCAAGTTCTTTGACAAACAGCATAAATCAGTCTTCTGTTCTCACCAGGTATGTTTGAAAACCGATTTTTGTGGTTTTGTAAGAAAATTCTAGTTCAACTAATACTTTGCATTGTACGGATATGGACACAAATATTCAAAATCAGGCTTAGATTGACGCATTGAATTGTAAGTGAGAAGCTTTCTCGTTTTTACATACATTCGTTTAATGCCAGCTATAGTCAATTATTATTATTATTATTATTATTATTAGTAGTAGTAGTAGTAGTAGCAGTAGTAGTAGTAGTAGTAGTTGTAGCAGTGTTGTTGTTGGTGGTGGTGATGTTGTTTCTGTTATTTTAGACCAGAGCCCTCACTGGCTTCTTGACTCCAGTTTTTCTGAGACCGGTAGTTTTCTTGCCACATTATTAACATGGTGAGACATTTTATTAGTATGGATATCATATTTTATGATGAAATGATTTCTCTTCTAGTGAAAAGTCATCTAAATGATGACTTGTGTTGTCGTGCTAGCAAACCATCGAAGGCTCCGAAAGGGTTTCGTCGACGCAGATTCAATGACAACTTTTGATCAACTCGTAGTATGTTTTTTTTTCAGACACTTTTCAAATTTGCCGCACACTGGGATCGCTTCCTCCATTGTGTTAACATCAAGAAGTCACCTTCCTGAAAAATCGACCATAATGAGATTCGAACACGTGTCTCAAAATCAGAAAACATTC